CCACAGCTCAGGTATTCAGGAAACTCTTAGGAGATTAAGAGCAGTGTACATTTTATTTCTTTAAAAATCTCCAGTACTATGGGAAGTAAGAAGATTTGATAGTTGTTATAATCATCAGGACTGGTAATAAAATATAAAGTATGAAAATTCTTCAAATATTATCCATCCAATCTTACACTGTGTTAATGCAGAATCAAGTTCTTCCCTATGACCTCTCAGCCTGATTTCCTGTTAAGAATGCCATCAGATTAACTTAAGTATATCTGAGACATACTCATGTCAGATTACCTACACTTCTTTTTTCCTGTAGAAATGCCATTTTTAATTTCATTATCAATTACAACTTTTTACTAAGTAGTCCATAAGCAGAATCTTGAACTTAGAACCTTCAACCACATCTTAATGTTCTCATGAAGTTGAAGAAGCCCTGGGTGACAACCAAAGATTCATTATGTGGAGACCATCCTGGAGTTAGAGATTGGTCATACAAGTTGAGGACTGTAAGGACTTTGAACAGGGAGTGAAAAATGCCCACAGAAATGAACAGTAAGTTAATATGGGTGACTAGAGCCTCACACTCAGAACAGGAAACAAACAGGGAGGGACTGAGAGACTCCTGAGATCAGAAAACCAAAGGGAAGGAGAGGTCACAAATTGACCAGAATTGTGGCTAGCAGGGCAGAACTCTCTGTTGGCTGATAACTCACAGATCTGTTCCCATACTGAAAGGACACAACTGACAGAAGGAGGGCTGCCCAGTGAGGCACTTGTGGCAAGGAATACAAATGTGCTGGTTCCTAACAACTTCCAAAAAGAGCAATTCGCTTCAAGAGCACACAGTCACTGGTGTGACACAAGCAGGAACTTCCTTCAAAACATTTTCCATAAAAGGGAGAAAACTGAAAGATGATGTGGGCAACTGAGTCCAAGACAAAAAGGTTTTAAGGAAAAAGGATGTAGAGGTGAGAAATACAAGAGGCAGGGATCTGGACAGGTGGGTTTGGGGGAAAGTCTGTGGTGTGGGGCAAGATAGCTACTAAATCTGGAAGTTCAAATTTATTTGGCCATGGGGGTTTTTTTGTTCCTGATAACTCCTGCATGCAACAATCCAGATTAGATTACTGCAGTGCACTCTACAAGGGCCTACATACTACAAATCCTTGGAAAATGAAGCTAGAGCAAAATGCTTATTCAGCTCATTTTCATGCTAGGAGTATTACACCCGCACTTCAGGATACACTCTAACTGCCAAAATGTTTCCAGGTGGAAATTAAGAAAGATTGCCAACTCTCAAGCCAAAACTGAAGAGAATAAATTTAACTTTTTGAGTAAAACTGCAAAATTATCTCTTTGTTCCTGTTTTTTTAAACACTAGTAAAAAATTGTTAATATATATTACTGACATGGCAGCACTTAATCCCCAGAAATTTATTTATGTCACATAAATAAATCAGATGTACCAAAATAACCAGAGATCACAAAATGACCAACTGTAAAAAAGACCATGTGTACGGGCAGATGAGAATTAGAGTTAGGTCCAGACACGGATGGCAAAAAAAGGTCACCCATCTATGCCTCTCCCCAGAGAGCAAAAACAGAGGGAATAAAGGCTAAAAGTGTCTAGAAACTTCTCTTTGTTCCCTAGAAGCAGCCAGAAGACTAAAACACATCCATTGTAGCTAAAAAAATGTGCTCAACTAGATCCATCAAGAAAAGTTAGAGACGCTGTTCTTCACTAAGTCTAGAGTCATTCTGCCACATGCTGCCCATGGCAGGATAGGAAATCAGGTAAGAGTTATGACACAAATATAATCATTAAAAAAATGTCAATATGTGAAGAGGAAAACTTTTCATCAATATGATGCCTATTTCAAACGGGATATGCATCTTCCAAGGTCTTCCAAGAACCTCTGGTACACCTTTCTCTTTACAAAGGGTACAAAAATGTCTTATTCTTTGTTGCAAAAATGTACTCCACTGCCCATGTATATACAGACATATAATAGCCTGCATTTCTCTATATAAATGTGGCATGTGGATTAGAAAATCCAGTATTATCTACAGAAATGAAGAATGTTTCAAATTAACACTGTTCAATTTTTTCTGCCTCTCAAGAATTTGGGAAAAAACCTTCAAAATCCCTCCCCAGCATTCACCAAATTAAACAGTATTTATGCTACAACATGCACAACTTCTTCATCTCCTTAAAAAACTAAAAATGCCCTCTGATGATTTGCAGGCTTATTATTTTCCCAGTTTATTCTGTGCTTTTAAACCACATGTTGGGTTACAGTCCCATACCTAGAATCTGTGTGTAATGTTGAACGGGAAATGCAGGTTTCTATGGCACACAGCAATCAAATTGCTGCACAAATGAGTGTTTAAAGAGGGGTAAATAGCACCACAAAAAGTAAAGAAAAAAGTAAAATGCATTATTGAAAAATGTAAGATAAAGCAATGTCTACAGTTCACTCATAATTACCCTTGACTGTGCTGTTCTCAAAGGTTATTTTAGCAAGGATTTTGCTATGAATGCTATGATTTTGCTTCCTTTACAAGTAAACATTTCCTAGGCTAATCCATTGTTCACAGAGTTTGTGGAAATTTTGGGATGACAGCACTTCAAGAGAACACCTATTCTAAGTCCAACACAAGCTGAAATAAAGCTCTATTCATCTAACCTGTTCTTAGAAACCTCCAAGAAAGGACCTTCCATTACATGTATATGAAAGAATGTCCACATTTTGTTTCCACTTACAGATTCATTAGACTCATAGTGAAAAAGTCTTCTCTTTAAAAACTAACATAGTTATTCCTGGCAAAATTAAATTTACTGCTCCTAGCCTTTCTCCACTGGGCACTGGAATACAATTGATCATCGTCTTTTTTACAACAACATTTTATGTATTAGAAGACTTATGTCTCCCCTTTGGTACTTTCTAGACTAAACAAACCATGTTCTTTAAGCCTTCCCCACAGGTCATGTTCTCTAAAACTTCTATCATTCTTGTTGCTCTCCTTTTGTCCCTTTCTACTTTGTCTATGTTTCCTAAAGCATGGAGATCAAAACTGTAAACAGCTTTTCAGATGAGCCCTCACCAGTGCTCCAAGGAACAGAATAATTGCTTCCTGCTTCTTCTTCAGCATTATATCTATCCTAGAATTAGATCCAACTTCATTGCAATGCTATTCCACTGTGCAATTTAGATTAATTTTTCCATGCTATTACCTCAATAGCATATGTGACTTCTCCCATGTAAGCAGACTTGTCTTTGCTGAATTTCAAATTTCTTATTCTAGACTCTCTCCAGTTTATCAAGACTGGAGCAGCTTATTGAGGAGTTTGACTGCTCCTGCTGCGCTTGGAGTTCCTTACACCTCTCTTCATGATCAACAATATTAATGGCATTTCTATTTCATCACTGAAATAATCTCTAAAAAAATACTCCACAGAATCAAATAAAGGACAGACCTCTTTGGAACCCGGCTGTAATTGGCCCTCCTGTCTGAAAATGAGCAATGGAAAATTTGTCTATCAGTTGCGCACCCATCTCATGGTAATATCACAATTATTTAAATTTAAAAATATATATTACATATTTTAATTAATCATGTATTATTGCAATTCATTTTACATTAGTTATTCATTACATTACAAAATTATGTCTTTATTTGCATATTACAAATATCTGGTGGGACAGAGTTAAACACCTGATGAATTAAAAGCTACCACTTTCTGCTTTAACCACAAAACCAGTTAACCTATCAAAGGAAATTAGATTTGCTTGACATAATTTTCCTTGGCAAATTCAAGCAGACTAAATATAGGATGGGTATGCTAGACCTACATTCTTTTTTAGAGAATGGCCCAAAACTATCACCTAGGAAAAAATCTGAGAGTACAAGTGCTAGTAAATAGTAGTAAAATAGCCACTATTTTATTTGTGCTCTGTCTTTAATCATGCACCTATTTCCACTATTCATATAACATCTCAATGTTCTTGAATATGTTTTGATACTGACTTTCTTTATGACTTTCTTATCCATTCTCTTCCCTGAATAAGCTGCTACCATGCATTGAAAAGCACTTGACTACATGTTAGCTCTCTTTCATTGTCTTGTGCCTCAAATTTCTTTCACAGGTTCAAGTTTCTTAAATTAGCTGAAAACAGTATCTGGGTTTCAGTAACACTGTGGTGGTTATTACCTGTTTTTGCACATCTCTTGGCTTCATTTTGGCTTTTTTTCTTTCATTCTGTTCCTTGCATAAAGCCAAAACTTTTTTTATTTTACAGATATTTCCATAGAATTTTTCCTTCTTTTATAAACTCAGCCAACTTATCTCTGTTAATCAGAAACAGAACTAAACCAAGACAGCAAGTCCTTAATTCCCTTCTCCTCCTACTGACAGAAAAAGTTGTTCTTAACATGTTCCAAGAATTCAAAGGATTATGTATTATGTTGTTCAGGTTTATTGTTTGTGGTTTGGGGTTTTTAAATTTGTGCTAGTATCCAAGAAATCATGTTTTCTCATTCTTACCTGCTCCTGACTCTAACACAATCACACTGGTCACTGTGTAAAAAAAGTGTAATACGCCTCATAGCCTCCTTCTCCCAATTAAGTAGTCTATCATACATCCCCAATATATTTTCATCCCTGTTTTTCCCTTTTTTTCTACCCAGACATTATGAACTTATAACCTAGTTTAGTATCAAAAAATGATTTTTCATATAAAAGCAATGTTAAATTTTTCCTCAGGCTCCTTCATCTGAAAATCAGTTACTTGTTTCTACAGACTGTTTTTCAACTCCAGAAAAGTAAGACTCCAGACAAAAAGCCAAAATTCTAAACTATTTCAGGACGGAAATAAATACCAGAGCTATTAGCTTCAGTTCAAAGAACACATCATTACTTATTAGATATTTGGAAAATTTATTTTATTCTGAAATAGGAAAATAATCAAGTTATAAAACTGAGGGTGAAGAAAAAGGTGACCAACCTGATCTGGAGAGGGTCTGTGGTTGTGTTGTGTCCTCCCAGGAGAGCGATGGTGGTGGTGATGGTGGTGGTGGTGGTAGTGGTGATGGTCATCATCATAGTTATCGGCCATCAGCTTCATTCTGTTTTGTGTCTGTTGAAGATGTAAAGCAAGACAATTTTATTACACGTTGGAATGTATTGTTCCGGCAGTGGTTTAGGAATCTATTAGCTCTGGGAGTTTTTCTGGAATTTTTGTTCAGCTGAAGGATCTAAGAATAGAAATCCAGACTGCTGGCTCACAAAGAAAAGGAAAGAGAAATAGAGAAATCAAGTATGTGAACACATCCTCTGTTTTAGCTTTCACATGCACAGAATGACATGAAGTCAGAAAAGCAAATGATGACAGATGATGCGTTTGAAGGGCAAAAGACATTCAGTTTTTCTAAATATATTATTTTAGAGCTGTTTCCTACTTTTCCAGTCTAACATTATGTCTCAGCAATTGACTTCTTAAATCTCACTGAAAGGAATATTAAGTGCACTTCAAACATTTACAGTTAGCTACGAAGGCATGTTAGCAACAACCATGAATAGTTCCAAAAGTTCTATTTTGGGTGATTTATTTTAATTGTACACCAGGATCACCCTGCTAAACAATAAGTAAAATTAATCTGAAAGCTAAGTGATAGAGATACAGGCACTTAGAGAAATAAGTGATTATGGAACTTGACACATTACTGAATGGAAGTAAGTCTAAGATATCGATCTTGAAAAAGAGATCAACACTTCAGCTACAGCTGCGTACAGATAATAAAATCTATGTCACCATGGGACAACAAGATACATTGACACTCTTTATCACTATTACAATTATTCCATACCATGAAATACATAGACTGGAATAATTCAAACCTTGCTCATAACACCAAAAATATCTTACTACTAATAGTCTGACACCAATGGATACAGTCATTAGGTTTTTTTGTGGTACCAGGACTGAAGACCCTCTCAGACAAACGTGTTCAACTGCAATCAAGTTTTCACTAATTTTGAAAAGAAAAAAATGGTGTCAACTCCCAAAGATCTCCTTCCAAAATTAAACAATCAGTTAGAGGCATATACAGTTAATACCACACAGATGACAAAAGGAAAGAGAGCAGTCTTAGCTCACTTGATGTCATGCTCCAAGGCAGCAGGATTCGTGGTAACCCCACTGAGGATGGGAGCTAAACACATTGGCCAGGATTTAGATGAATGAGTTCCAAAGGACCAAAAGAAGCAGATCAGTTTGAGCACAATTCATTTGTTCAATGTGTTCCCATAGTAACTGGTCTAACTGCCTTCCAATGCCAAGTGCCCATGAAATAACTCATGTCCTATAGCTAGGATGTGATAAATTTACTTCCAGGACTGCTGTAATTTGATTTTCCTTCAACAACAATTCTATATCAAAGTCTCTGCTTGGAAAATTTCACTGGCAAGTATATTTTCATTGAAAATGCAAAACTCAGAGATTGCTATTAAATTCCCCAATTTTATGTGTTTTGCTGACGTTGAAAAGGGATTTGAAAAAAAAAACAAACAAGCAAATGAAATATTCATATTACATAATATTTCAAGTATAACACAGTCTAATGCAAGGCAAACAGCCACAGAATCCTAGGAAGTCCTGACATACCTTTTCAGCAATTAATTTTTTTTCCATTGTCACAAGGTTTCTCAAGCACTTCATGTGATGTTCAATAGAGGATCAGAGAAAACTGCTTTACAGGAGGGGAGCTGTACTCAGTTTAAGTAGAAACAACCACTAACCCAACCAAACCCTCAAGGCATCCACAACAAAAAGACAGAGCAAACAGCACAGGTCAGATGTGCACTGTCAGACTTTCTGAGCATCTCCATAGCACTGTATGAGCATTTTTTCAGTGAGAAGAATCTGCACAGTTGGAAATATTTTATTTTCTCCCTCCCAAATACCAAGATGGAAGCAAACAGCTGTATGAATTTCAGTTGTGACTTTCTGGCGATTTTGATAAAAAGATCATCTCAATTTGAATCATCATGGTTGGTCTGTCTGTCTTTAGATTCAGAGAGGAGGGGCTTTTGAACAAAAGACTGGAAAAGATGGAGAATTAATAGACAAATAATAAGCCACTTACTATAAACACTGTCATACCCTGCCTCTTTGGGGAAGCTCCTAAAATTTTATTAGTTTATTTTCTTATCAATGAACAGCCTTAAATTTCCTACCTTTCAACTGTATTCCATAAAGAATGCAAAAGTTAAACAAGATGAGATATGCAATCCTAGAAGTGTCCTCTGTAATGAGGTGTTGGGGATTATGCGTGTCATGGGATAAGAACTGTAAATGAATGATGTCATCTTTCTAATTTGGTGCTGAAATATAAATAAACTACTTCTAATGTTTCTTCCTTTTGCATGCCAGATTGCAATAAAATGTGCACAAAGAAATGTTAATGCTCTAGTAGCCTTCCTTTAGTGTGCCTGTTCTGGGAGCAAAATACACAAGAAATATGAAAGAATTTCTTTTCCACTCAAGTAACTATCAAACCATCTAATGTTCATCATGACTTGTAACTGCCATCAATTTCTTAAAATGATGCAACTTACCTGGCAAAATAATACTTTTAAAAGCTTTTTGTTTTCATTTGTTAGCTCTTCAACTTATAGCAGATACAATTTTCATGCTCTGTTTGTCCTTGCATTAGCTAGTCCTAGTCCTACACTTCCACACTGAACTGTATTCTCCAGGTATGCTTAGCTTTAGCTTAACAAGTACAAACACTTTATGATTTCAAACTTTTAAAAGCAAGAATTTTGAGGAGGACAAGCAGGGGGATTTCTGGAGAAGAAGAGAAGCAAATTTGCCCTGAGGAACAATATAATCCTTTTCACATCCTTCTAAACAAAAATCTGTAACATCACTTCTGTTTTCTCCCTTTGCCAGCTTTTGGTATTTAGCAGGCTTTGAAATGCCAACTATATTTTTATTTGAGGAAGGAATTAATTAATCACATCGGAATTTGTTTTCAGGACCTCAGGGCTTCACACCCCTACACCTACGAACAGGCACACACAGAAAGGTGTGTACGTGTTGGGACACTGGTTAGCAGAGGAAAATCCTCATGGTCTGGGTGCCAGAGTAACACATTGAGGGACTGCTTCAGTGCTGCCTGAGAGGGGAAATACCACACAGTGACCTGGCAATGCCATCACTTCCTGCAACATCTTCAGAATTCCTGAAAAGTTCCTATTCAAGGACACCCAAGACCTTTTCTTACATTTCTTTAGAAAGCACAGCACATTACTCAATACTGACATTTCTAGATGATCAAGAAATTGAATCTTCAAATATACAATAAATGAAAATTAGTGGGATCACACATGCATTCAAACTGTGTAATATCTAATGTACATCACTGGTTACTCTGCACCTTATCTGAAATCCTTATATTGCACAGGCCCACACCTAAGAAGGAACATGTTTTAATTTGGATTTATACTAGAAAAGAAAAACATATGAACTTGTAAAATATGACAATTAATTAACTCTATCTCCTAGAGACCATGTATGGCCTTATTAATTCTAGCCTAAACAGGGTCCTCAGATGTTTTTTCCTCTTAATTTATTGACTACATTCAAAGAATACTGCATCCATTTTGAAATAAAGGAATGATCATGGAATTAAAAGCAGCTTAGATCTACTTGCACAGGTATATTAACCCTTAGGGCTTGAAACAGTTGTCTTTGATCATTCAATATCACTATTTGCTAAGCTGTCAAGGTCATGAATGGTATGTGTAACTGAATTTTTAACCCACTTACCAAAGAATTTATGACCTAGCACTGCAAGAAAACTGACAGATATTTCTTGTCCTCCTAAAAGTTTGTTGAGTTTAAGGAAGGATATACCAAACTGAAATGAAAGTCTTTGATTGACTGGTAACAGACTAAATAGCTTAAGAGCAATCTGTAACTGTAAAACTGTAATATTAAAACTGTCTTTTACAAAATATTTTAGCAAGGTGGCAATAGGGAACTATGCTTTCATCTGTCATCTGGATCAAGTTAACAACGAAACTCTCATGAATGAGGTTCAAATGAGGAAAAATAGTAAGATTTGTTGCTCTGGGATATAGGTGTAATACAATTCAATAGCTATTACTTTCCTTTGGATTTTCTTCTCAATCTCTCTTCATTTAATGGAATTCGAAATATTTCTAGAATATTCACTTTCAATAGCATAGGATTTTTCCCTATATGAGAATTAGGCAGATGTAAGGCCTGCAGGCTGTCCTGGAGCTATCCTGGGGTCTAATTCTTAAAGCTCAAAATTTAAAATCTAGAGATCCACATTCTAAGTTTGATTCTGCAATGGCCTCTTGCTGTCTTTAATGACACAGAAATTCTTTTTCTTGCAATCTCACTCTTTGAAAATAATTCCACAAATAAACTCTAAAAACTCCATGAGGTAGGCATTTAGTTCTAGTCTTCATGATTTTTAATAACGGGTGATTTTATATGAGCTTTTCTCCTGAGACAACATTTCAGAAAACAGAAAAGGGCAATAATCTAAAAAAAAATTGCATTCTCCAGACTACAGGATTAATCAAGTGTATTTAGAAGCTGCATGAAGGAATTACTGGAATGAATCTAGATTTAATGAAAGCATGTACAACTGCAGCTGGTTTTCCTGTATGAATCCAGTGCTTCAAATCCGAGTTGCACTAACAGAGGGTTAACAAAATGTTTGCTAATTAAGCCAGTTCGGGCCTTATGCCGTCCAAATAAAAACAGTTTTCATATTAGAACAATTTTCATTTTTGCATTCTTTGAAAATTGTTGTCATCTGAAGACAAGGGAAGAATTTCTTACCACTTCTACTGCTGCACAACTCAGAAATCACAAACTGCCATGGAATACAATTTATATTAGATTTGTTATTTGGCAAGTTACAATTCATTACATGTTGGACAGCAAACACTGTACTTGCCCTCATACACCCCTAAAGCTCAAGAAATTACACTTGTCATTCCAATCATTTAAGTGACTATAAAAGTTCACAGAAAATCATTACTTTATAAAAATTGTGTATTTTTTTATTAAAAACCCCGAAAATATTACAATAT